AATATGTAAATATAAAAGAACTGAGTGGTATTTATGCAAATCTCTTTGATTCAAATGCAATTTTCTTTTTGCTACTGCTTTCAAATTTGTTTTCTTTTAGGCACATTTTATTGCTTTGTGCTCAACAGAGAAGTTTTGGTAATTGATTCCTTTTCATGGTGATTGAGAGATTGCTGTTTGCATAAGTTCTAAAAACATATCTATATTTGGATTCATTCAAGGAAGGAATAATTTACCTCCCAAATGCCTTTGCTCGTTTCAGAAATGGTGGCATGAATTTAAATTTATGGCTTTAGGTCTTGTATGTCAAGTAGGTATTGTATGAATGGGAATGAGGATTGTTTGGTGGGAAATGGATCTGTTGGATGTATTCTCTATTTGAAGCAGCTTGGATGGCCCCGCTCCTTTTTCAGGGCAATTGCTGCCTTCTGTATTTCGTTCGAGTATGGAGAATAATTTGTTGGTAACAGAAGTTGTTTGAAATTAAATTTGTTGGTAACATATTTTTTTGGATTAGTGGTGCATCTCTTTGAAGCAGCTTTGACGGCCAATGCGGTTATATATGGGGGGATTATTTGAAACTTTATTCTTATATAAGACTTTTTATTACATTGTTTATTCGTTTGATGGTGCATCTAATTATTTGTTTGATGGTGCATTTAATTATTTGTTAAACATAAATGCTTACAGGTTTGGTAAGCATGGTGTGCTTGTTTGCTGGCTCGGTTAGCTTGCTTGAGGGAAATGTGAATACGTATATAATATGTCGTATCTTCTCTTCAGATCTTATTAAACAAAAATGCTTGAGGGAAATGTGCATAGCTGATTGGGAGATATTTTTTTGGGGGATATGTGCTACTTGTTGGTTGGAGAGTTTGGTTTTAAGCACATATTACATCTCCTATATTCTGTTCATCTCTGAAGCAATGTATTTCGGTTTAGAACATATATGAAGCCTTTCTGTTTTACTTTCGATGAAGGAAACCGTTTTACATTCGATGCATTTTTGTTGTTGAGTCAAAGATGTGCTTTATATTGAGGGCAAACATTCTTGAGTCAATGAGATGTTTTTTTGTTGTTCAGTCAATGAGGTGTTTTATATATGTAATTATTGTTGGTACATATGTTATAGTTTTTCCATATTGCTTCGGATTTTATTGAGATAACAGTGGAGCGGTTTGGACGACCACAAAAAATTGTTGTCGACAACCGCTGCCTTCATATTTCGGTAAGTATACTTTCTATATTTCCTTAATTTTTTCACTGATCTATTCTATTTTTAATAACTGCAGGACGATAAGTTCTAAACATTCAGGGAAGTCCGAGAAATTGATGTGTCATTGCGGGCTACCATCCTTACTACTCACGTCACTCCAGACACATAGCTTCGGGAGACAGTTTTACAGGTGCCCGCGGTGGGGACAAAGGACCGGACGACTGTAAATTCTTCATGTGGGCCGACAGTGGAACTATTTCTACGTGCTTTCTACGATATCCCAATTGGACACAGCTG